ACGCTTCGGGTGACCACGTCGCCAATTCCCCGAACAGTTTCAGCTAAAGGCCCGTTCACACCCCTGCGACCTCTTAAAACTGGGTTCCTTGAAACCTCTTACAACGAGAGGACACACTGGCGCCATCTATTGGGTAGTGGTGTAAATTTCGTGGTCCGGAATATTTTCTATTTCTCTCCCGCATTATCCTTTCTTGGCTCGAAAAACGTTTGTCAACGTCATAAACGAGCCTTTCTTATAAGTACAGTATTACGCACATTTGACCTCGGAAATCCCGCAAAACCTTCGCTCTTGTGAAATGTAGTTCCAGCGTCACCGCATAGATGGCGCCTGCGTGCCAGTGTGTTCTCTCGTACTAAGAAATTTTAAGAGGTTTTAACAAGTCTATTCTCTCTCAGTCGTACCCGGTTGCAAGAGTGTGAACAAGCCTTAAGCTCCTTCGCCCATCCCTACGCCGAGTAAACTAATATTTTATGAAAACATCACGCTCTTGTCATTCTGTACTAATCGCCACTAACAGTTCCTGCAAAAAAGATTTTGTCTGTTTGTTTTTACTCAAAACAAGCTTCCTAAACGCTCATTGTGACCACAGTAAAAAAACAATTATCCGCCATCTTGGCGCCATCGAGCGTGGGAGTTTCGGTCTCTGACTCCAGTTCAAGTCAAGTCGTGCAAAGGCCGCTGGCGCCATTTCGCAAGTAGTCATATAAATAAACTTTCATGTTTTGACTTGTGGCTAAAGGGCGGCGCTGTTATCGTATTTAGTTTGGTCTCGGTGGACGCGAGAGGACCGGGTTTCAAGTGTGAGTTTCCCAACTGAGTGTTTCAGTAACGTTGGCACGAACTAAGGGAAAAAAACGGCTCGAGGTAATTACACCTAAGCACTTCTTATGAGCTATGAATGCGAAAGCCTGCATGGCGTTCTTCCGCTCCCTTATTTTGTCTGCGGTGTGCTCCCGTCGACGGCCGAGCGCGCGCTCTCCTCGACGCTCTGACCTTGGGCGTGGAGACGCTACCTCGCTTGGCGGCGAGACGCTTTGTGTTACCGGCGCGCTGGCGGCGCGGACACGCAGCGCCTTGGGGTGGCGGTCGTTGAAACTGACGCGCAGCGGCCAATGAGAGCCTCACTCTTTGGAACTGTGACGCACACCAGCCAATGGAACCGAAGCCGAAATTCATCAGATTCACTCCGCTCCTTCTGGATCGAGGAAACAAGGTGCCGTTGGCTAGCCTTTTCGCGTGGCTTTAAAGCTGGGAGGCACCGAATTGCGGCTTTACTTGGAGGAAGGACTTTAGGTGCCGTTTGGCACGGCTTCAAAGCTGATAACGTCGGCTTGCTCCATGGGACAGTTAATGTTTTCGTATTCAAATGGTCTCCTTCTCGCTTTACCCGGGCACACAGTCTCTGCACTTCCAGCGTCTGCTCTGACCTTGGCGAACGTTGGCTTGAACACCGCGCCAAAAATCTACCCACTTTAACGCGTTCATAAAACTGTTATTGCCGCCGTTGAGGCACAAAACTAGGGTCAATGACAAAGCAGTGTCCTTCCAACACGCGCAACGGAAGTGCCAAGTTCTGCATGACATGGCGCCCACCCAGAAAACGACTTTAATAAGAAGCCGCATATCAAGGAGCCATCTTGTGGCGCCGCTTGCAACCAAGGCGAGGAGAGGACTTAATCTAGCAGATACGACGCGCGTCCTGTCCACGCCTACTGATCAGCCGTAACATTGCGAAAACCCACTCAATACCCTGTTGTTCTACCTTCGGTGCGCAAAACAGCTGCGACCCGTTTTTTTTTTTTTTTTATGAATTCTATAACTCCTTGTTAAGTGGCCCGAGGAAGATTGCACAATGTTTATAAGCATATGTGTAGTGCAATTCCTCTAGCATATGAGGAGGTTGTTTGTGACACCCTAGCAAGAAACCGTTCACATCTCAAATGTGCTCGTTCAATACGATTGATATCTGGCAAGTTAGGTGGCCAGGACATCAACCGGAATTCATCATCATGCTCTGCATACTCTATTAGCACTATTTTGGGCTTTTGACATAGAGCGCTGTTTGTCCTGTTGACGATTCCACTTCCGGTGGGGAAAACAGAAGTCATGATTGGATGTAATTGGTCAGTAGTGACGTTGTCATAGCCCACAGCTTTCATATTATGTGCTCTACTACAGCCACCGGTCCCAAGAATGCACATGAAAACGTCCTCCGCCGTCCCCATCCGCACCAGCAGATGGTAGATGATGCAGATGGCGTGTCAGCTAAGTGCGCTCATGGACTCATTCCCGTATTGTTTGGTTGGTCATGATGATTTGGCGGATCAGTGTACAGGGTGATTCAAGGAGAGGCCAGGCCCTTTAAATCGACTACAAAATTCGGTTTCTTAACCTATCACGCTACGACTTTGTGCAGCGTTGCCCACAGATGGTGTTTTTTTGTTATTTTTTTTTTTTTGTAAAATTTGCAAAGAGTAAGTTTACCTGAGGAAAGAGTAAAGAGATAAAAAGGCTTAGCTCCTATGGAAACGCAGCGACGCCACCGGTCTTCAAACAACACGGCGCCGTTTCGCACGGGAGACAAGTGATGGCGCAACGAACGCCGCCAACGTGAAGCCCCTCGATGTGTTTGCGCTTGTCTTGCAAGTAGCGTCAAATGCGCGAGTGCACGAGGCCCGTGTCTCGAGCGGCCCTTGGAAGCAAATGGCGGCGCAGCACTGAAATGAGCGGGCCTTGGAAGCGAATGGCGGCGGAGCACCCGCTCATGGCACGTGTCTCGCGCGCTTCCACAACAATGGTTGGCGGTACTTGTAAAAACGCTTTTATCAAGGGGCTTTACGCCAACGAACGAGCATACGGCGCCGAGAGCCAGGGTCTTCAGCAGAAGTTCTTTTCGACTCAAAAGCGGCTCGCGTTCCGCAGGCGGCGAAAGTCGCAGAAACAAAAACAGGCGCGGTAACAACAAGGAACTGCACTTTCTTGTCTGCTAAAGACGCCGGCTCTCGGCGTCGTATGCTCGTTCGTTGGCGGCAGTTGGCGTCGCGACCGCTTGCGCCATCTCTTGTCTTCCGTGCGAAACGGCGCTGTGTTGCTTCAAGACCGGTGGCGTCGCTGCGTTTCCATAGGAGCTAAGCCTTTTTCTTTCTTTACTTTTTCCTCAGGTAAGTTCGCGCTTTGCAAATTTTACATAAACAAAAAAAATGCACCATCTGTTGGCAACGCTGCACAAAGTCGTAGCGCGATAGGTTAAGAAACCGAATTTTGCGGTCGATTTAAAGAGCCTGGCCTCTCCTTGAATCACCCTGTATGTCTTACACATAGAAGTGACCCATAGATGACAGCAAACTCTTACATAGCTTCAAGCAGAATGCAATTCTGCATTAAAACGTAAACCCCATTAAAGCCTTACGAACGCCAATAAGCACGTCTGAGCGATTGTTTGCCTATAGCTAAGGCTCCTGGAACGCGTCTACGACTGATATGTTTACTGCGCCTTGAGATTTCAGCCTGATGACATCACAGAAGCGTCTGCTGTCACCGGCAGCGATCCTTGGGCTGTAACAACGGCGGTGGTGGATGATGCAGGCGCCTGTTGTGCTCCAGGTCGCTCTCCAGCTTGACAGCCTACGGAAGCTATGCGGAGCGCAGGTTCGGCTGCTTCTTGCTCAGAAGTTGCAATGATGTCAGAAGGCCGAGTTCTTATTGGCTGATAGAAACAAAAAATAGTGGGTAGGCCTCAAAGCATTTAGCATTGAGGTCTACTATCAAAGCCAATCAGATCACGGCATCGTTCTGGAGTCGCCAGAACTCCTGCGCAAGAAGCAGACGACTTGCTCTCCGCATACAGCAGCAACGAGTTGGGATCGCCCGACAACAGCGACACTCACGTTCACTCGTACTTTCTGCCGGGACATGTAGCCCCAACCGTCAGGATCACAACATCCTATAGCATACTCCCCGGTTTTTGTGACGCCATTTGTAGCCACCTCGGGACTCCGTTTGATGTATGGGTGGGCAAGGACTCTACACACACCAGTCCGGGGCGGGTTGCAGCTCATAGCTTACAATTTGGTTTTAGCCTGCGCCAACCGTGCCAGATTCGGTCGTCAAAACTGGGAGTGAGTGAACGAGAGAACATGACAAAGAAAGTGGAGCAATTGGGATGGTGGCCCCCTGATGTCCCGAGGGTCGCTTGCCCAAACTGTCATCTATTCCTTTTCTAATTTTTTTTTTCTATAAACAAATATAATTATTTTATCGTTTTTCCCATTTACAACCCCATGGTGCACCCGCCCACTTTTTCACTAGGAGAGAAAGGTATCGAACAAAAATTTAGGGCGCAAACTAGGTTTTGATGGTCGAACATATGTTAAGACGAAACCCCGAGACTGAGACTTTGTGTTGTCGTTTTGTTCTACGTTTTTCTCCAGTCTCGGGGCTTTGTCTTTAAAAAAAGAGAAGGGTGCCCTAGGGATAAATCTTAGTTGCATGATAAATTTCTTGGTCCAAAGACGTATATGATCAAATAAGATAATATAAGCACATACTAGAGCAATACAAATGTTTATAAGAAGTTATAAAAAACTGATGAGATGTTTAATATTGCTTCTATATAATCTGATATTGTTCTTCTATGTTCTTATAAGGTTCTTATATGCTCTTATATGACCTTGTTTGAGCATATCTGTTGGGGTGGGGCCAAAAAATGCCTTATACATAAAAGGTTTTTCGCTAGGGTAAGCTGTGCTAAAGGAGGATACAGGAAGGCGGTCGGTATTTTTTTCCTCGTTTTTTCCCCAAAATACAAACAAAGTGGTGCGCCGTGCGGCCGTATACCTGAGGGCTGTGCCTTTAAATATTGTTCTCCTCGCCAGCCGCTTCTCCTCCCACTTTTACGGCAGCCTGGTATTTTGGGCCGGAAAGCGAACGTTTTTCCTCCTTTATTTGAGGCTGCAGGCACCGTAGCCTAACCAAAAAAGTATAAAGGTTCGTTCAAAATGGCCGTTGGTTACGCCACGTGGTGCAGCGAGGAGCAGCCCTGGCCTCCGGGAGCCGACTCGGGTCGGGCGTGGATGGTGGCGGCCGCCTGCTCCTGGTTTTCCTTCTTCACCTGGCTCCCGGTCGTCTGCTCGGCCGTGCTCTACGTGGCCTATATGAACCAGAATCCGGACGTGCCGCGCTGGGAGGCCTCGTGGCCGTTCACCATCATGCTCGTCGTCATCAACGCCGGAGGCGTCGTCTATGCCGTTGCGTCCGAATGGCTCACCGAGCGCAGCCTGCTGTTCGTAGCCGCTGCGCTTTGTGCGGGTTCTCTGGCCATCAGTTCTTTTGTCCATAACATTGTGACACTTGTCCTCTTCCTCGGAGTCGTCTATGGTGAGCGTTGCAGTTGATTAGACGGCGGCTAGTGACGTTCTATATTTTAAGCTCTTTTTCCCCCTGAATTGAGTAAGCAACCCAGACAGCACACGACGTCGGGCCAGCATTGGTATTCAATCGGCAAACAATGGTCCAATATTGGGCCAATGTGGCCATCGTAGAACCAATATTGGTGGTACACTGGAATATACTGGCCAACGTTGGCCTGACTTGACCAACGGCTCACCAACGCTGGTAATCGATTGGCTTAGGCCGGCCAACATTGGCCTACCTCAGCCAATGGCTTACCAACGTTGGCAAGCGATTGGTTTAGACTGGCCAACATTGGCCAACCTCAGCCAACGGCTTAGCAACGTTGGCTATTGGTTGGCTTAGGTTGGCCAACATTGGCCTGTCTTAGCGAATTGGTTACGAACATTGGTAATCAATTGGCTTAGGCTGGCCAACATTGGTCTATTTTAGCCAATGAGTTGCCATCATTGGTAATCGATTGGCTAAGACAGGCCAATGTTTGCCAGCTTAAGCCAATCAATTACCGACATTGGTAATCGATTGACTTAGGCTGGGCAACATTGGCCTGTCCTACCCAGTGGCTTACCAATGTTATATATAATTGGCTTAGTTATTTTAATGTGCTGATCGCGCACGCTGAGAACAATCTCTAGCTATGCCTCCGGGGGGAACGATTCTTCTGTTTTCACACGCAGAGCAAGTTAGCAACTGAATTAGAACGCTGTATGCATTGCGAGCTGTAGCAAGTTTGAGCGTCCACGCAGAAAAAAAACGTGTTCGGTGACAGGTTAAAAATAAACGCTGGGGAGGAGGTCGACTCCTCCTGATCTTTCGATCTACAAATATGGAAAGAGATGGGAGGAGCTTCTACCACCTGTCACCGACTATAACTAACACGCGTCTTCCCAAAACTGATAGTTATGCTTAGTAAATTCCACACAAAATACAAAATGCACGCCTCCTTCGATTTGTGTATATGTTTATACGGCAAAAAGCATAGTGCCTCTTCTCTTATGCCCATTTAGCGACGCAGCCGGGAAACCTTTCCAAAGAGGGGGGGGGGGGGGGGGGGGGGAGGGGGGGAGGCAGGGTTCAACCCCGAAATTTCCACCCGCCTCCCCAACCTAGGACACGGGTGTATTGTCAGCTGTATGTGATCTTGAAAATCTCAAGGCAACCCGCTTTGCTCAGCCGCAAAACGCGGCCTATAATTCAGACTGAACCGGACAAAATTAAAAAAAATAAATAAAAAGCACTAATAATTTTAGCAAAAAAATAAAACCTTAAACAAATATCCAGCGACTGACTAAGCAATTACATGTCTTCACGAATAAAAAATTGCGTTGAATTAACATCTCGAACACCCTATGTTTGAGGTAGGAGGTGACATAAAGCTGATGCGCATTTCAATCTGCAAAGAAAGGTTATCACGCAACATATAGACCTTTCCAGAAAAGGGCTGCTGGCCGGTTTCATTTTCAGTGTTCGTGCATATCGCGCGTGATTTGCTCGCTTTCCGAAGCGACGCACACGCGCGCGCTAAGCTGTGGAGATCGCACGCTGAGCTGTGGATTTGTAGACATTGGAAAGGTCTATAACAGAAGAAGCTGAGCATTATGCCTGCTTGCCCAAAAATGACTTCAAAGTGCGTACAAAATACGGCAACTGCAGTACTGACTACGGTAGTGACAACGCCCTCAGAAATATAAGCTGTAATAGAGCCAACGGGTTACCAAAGTTGGCAATCGATTGGTTTAAGCTGGCCACCAATTGCCTGTCTTAGCCAGTGGCCTACCAACGTTGGTAATTAGCGGCGAGATGTTTTGGTGGCGCCCTCCTATGGTTCCCCCTTGTGACGTCATTACCTTGCGAACAACAAGTTCGATGGTGTCTGTAAATAGCATGGTGGAAGCCTGAAATCATTGCGCTTTCAAAGGAACACTGCCAACACCGTCGAAATTAAAGTTCCTTCATTCTTCTTATTTCCGTCGATGGTGTACCCTTTCCGACGTCATAGTCAGCTTTTGGGCCAATCGTGAAAGGCCGACCACAGCGACGCTTTCGGTCGCGCACGTCGCCAATTGATTGGCTTAAGGCCGGTTCAGACACTTGCGTTTGAGTGCGTTTGACTGCGTTGCGTCGAGTACCGAAAGCGAGTCACCGGCACATCTGTGCTTCGTATGAAGCGTGGAATCCAATTCAAGGAATCATCTTGGCACGCGGTATAAGCAGCAGGAATGTCCTGGTTTCTCGCTGCCGCAACGCAGTAAAACGCAATCAAACGCAACTGTCTGAACCAGGCTTTAGTCTGGTGTGATGAGCGATCCCGCGACCAGCCGAAGAGGACGAGAAAGAAGAAGACGAGGTGGGGGCATGCGAGGAGCGCGAGAGGGGATTCGGGCGGTTGACAAAGGACGGTGCAGACGCGACCAGGCCGGACCTCCGTCGGCGTGACCAGACGTCAAGAGGCCCGACCCACAACCCACTTCTCACGCGGTCCGGGCGCCAAACTTCCGGAGGTAGACAAGACTGCATGCGTGGCGCAGTTGAACAGCCGCTGCCACTCCGTGCCACAGAAGTTTTGAGCCTGACTCAAGCCTTCGGCCAACGCCCAACTGCCTCGTCGCTACGTCCTTCGGCCCAGACCTTGGCGGACACCTGGTCATAGGCTGCCACCGGCGTACGGGGCCTGATTCAAGCCTTCGGCCATCGGTCAACTGCCTCGTCACTACGTCAGGACCTCGGCCCTGACGTCGTAGACCCCTGATCATCGGCTGCCACGGGTGCTACGCCGCAAGGACTGAAAAGTCGTGAGCGAGGGACTTTTTAGGGGACACTCAAACCTTAACATTTGTTGAAGTGCTGCTTGGGAGTGTGCTTTACTAAGACCAATGTGGGTTTGAAAGCGTTGATCTTTGACCTTTGGACCTTTTCGTAGATGCCATCAGTGCGAAGCTAACAATTGAAGAATCGGCAGCTTAAAAATGGTGCTGAAGTGGCTGCCAGGGTCTTGCGACAGGGGAGGCTGCAGGAAGAGGCGTTCGGAAGCCGTAATGGCTCCCCAGCCCCAGGACTCGCCCCAGGACCTTCCCCAGGACCAGGCATAGGCTCCCCGCTGAGCTTCCTCCCTAGCCCCTTTCAATAAAAGTTCCGAAAAAAGTATTTAATTGATCTTGAAATAGTCATTTGCTCGCCAGATAAAATAATGCACAGACAAAGCATAGGAGGACCTTGCCATTTGTGCCCAGAATGTTTTTCTTGCAGTGGGCTGCTAATAAGAAACAGGCCAGGGGTTCTTAAAACCCAATGTTGGAATAACCAGGATTTAAACACATTGCCATCATTGCATGGCCAGCATTAAAGATATGGCATTAACACTGGGACATGCCAATGAATCAGCTTGACTGCAGATAACGGCCTATTCAATGATTGAACTTGTATACCAATGATGGCATAGCCATTGAATTGGTGTGAAAGCCAAAATTGGCATAGCCAATAATCATTGGCTATGCCAATTTTGGCTTTCACACTAATTCAATGGCTATGCCATCATTGGTATACAAGTTCAATCATTGAATAGGCCGTTATCTGCAGTCAAGCTGATTCATTGGCATGTCCCAGTGTTAATGCCATATCTTTAATGCTGGCCATGCAATGATGGCAATGTGTTTAAATCCTGGTTATTCCAACATTGGGTTTTAAGAACCCCTGGCCTGTTTCTTATCCATCATCAGCCATCATTGGCACCTTTTTTAGGCCATCGTTAAACCAATATTTCAGCCATCGTTGGCATCCACACTATGTCGACATAGTGTGGATGCCAACGATGGCTGAAATATTGGTTTAACGATGGCCTAAAAAAGGTGCCAATGATGGCTGGATCATTGGTTGAACGATGGCCCAACGTTGGCGGCAATGACGGCTGGAAGGTTGGTTGGACGATGGCCCAACGTTGGTGCCAATGATGGCTGGAACATTGGTTGAACGATGGCCCAACGTTGGTGCCAATGGCTGGGCCAACATTGGAAGAAGTTGCGCTCGGCCAGAATACCAATGTTGGACCAACATCCGGAGCCAGCGTTTGCCATTGTTGGCCCAATGTAGGTCCAACAATGGTGTGCTGCCTGGGAAGTATATAGAGGAAAAGTCAAATTAATTGAACGAAAAATTAGAGGCCAAAGAGAAGAGCCCTAGTAAAAAAAATCATTTGTATGAGAAATTTCTTGTGTCCAATAAACACATATGAATCATACAAGATATATAAGAACATACAAGAACATATGAGAACCACATAAGAATTATATGAGAACTATATAAGAATTATATAAGATATATAAGAACCCCATAAGAAACTTATAAGAAAGTTCCCACTAGTTTCCTATATGGTGCTTCTATGTTCTCATATATCTTATATAGTTCTTATATAGTTCTTATATGGTTCTTATACGGTTCTTACTTGTTCTTATATGTTCTTATATATCTTGTATGATTCATATGTGTTTATTGGACACAAGAAATTTCTCATACAAATGAGAATTTTCAGTAGGGAGCTGCTTTAAAGATGGGTCTAATGTTTCCGCTGTAAAGCGGAAAAAAAAGGGGGAGGGTGCTATTTCGCGAGTGCAGTAAAATAGCCCGTACCGATTCGCTGGTGAGTCTCTCCCGGCGGTTAAAATAGTAGCAAGATGGATTTCGAGTTCCCGCGACCGGCTCTATAGGGAAAACGCACCTAGCATTCAGGCTTATTCCACTCAATAGACGTAAGCCTTGATTTTTTTTTTTAATATTCACTTGACACGATCTCACCAGAAATAAATTTCCATGCCGCTCCTAATGAACACGGTTAGTTTCTTTCTACTTACATTTCAGTTTCGTATCTCTGCACCGTTTTACTGTGTGCAGAAAGAAACAAAAAAATCAAGCTTTAATTCTTGAAGCAAGGACGCACTTACTAGCCGTTCGCCTGGAACGCCTTAAACCTATGGTTTCTGGTCCCCATGAAGCCGGTCACGTGAGCTCAGACTCCCTCTTGGGGCCATTTTTCTCGCCACCTGCACGACACTTTTGAGTCGACAACATTGTCTGTAATGACGCCGGCTCACGGCGTCGTGATCGCTGCCGCCATCTCTTGTCTTCCGTGCCAAACGGCGCCCTATTGTTTGAAGATCGGTGGCTTCGCTGTAGTTCCATAGGAGTTAAGCCTTTTCCTTTTTTTCTTTTTTTTTACTTTTTTCTTGGGTAAGTTTGCTCTTTGCAAATTTTATAGAAAAAATTCACCACCTATGGGCAGCGCTGCACGAAATCGTAGCGCTATTGGTTAAGAAAACAATTTTCCCGTCGATTAAAAGAGCCTGGTCGCTATTTGAGACACACTGTAGAAAGTAAGGCCGAAGAACGAATCACAAAACAAAAAGTGTGAACGTAAGATAACGCACCTTACGTTTCTTCAGCTGTCAGCGTCTATACTATAGCGATTATTCATTGGCGGCCATAGCTGAGTTTGTGGTTGCTGAGCGCGAGCTGACAATGGCTTTCCACGGCGCTTCTAACACATGTGTTCCACACAACCAGGATTGTCACCATTAGCACTCGATATGTAAAAGCTCCTTCGAGGCATACGCTGTGCACAACGCACTCAAATATGACTTCCTGTGAATGCCTCCGGCTTAAAGTGGAAGCCCTTCGTTCTAAATGATTAGCCCTTACTTATAATTAGCTGCGGGAATTCTGAAAATGAGTGCTCCGCGATGTACGGTAAAACTGTAAGGTTTCGTTGTTGTTGTTGTTGTTTTTTTGTTTTTTTTATAACTGCGAAAAAGTCAGAAAACCACTCGCCGGCAAGTTTTTTTAACAATTCAAATTTATTCGAAACACTCGAAATTAATAAGTACCAAAGACAAAAAAGAGAGTGTTCTACAAATAAACATTATAAGACCACAGGGTCGGTGGTCCTGAGGAAATTTTACTTCAGTTTCCTTTGAAATCTCGTACTGACAAAAGGGGTATGCCTTTCAGCTCGTCAAGGTTCCTTCAGGACAACGGATCATGGTACCCAGATTTCATTTATTTTGTTTATTAATTTTTAGTTTATATATTAATTTCTTTTAGATGGAAACACAAAAAAAAACATTTATAAATTTCAGAAAATTGGGAATCTAACAAAAACAAACTCCGATAAACCCCGAATATTCAGCGAAAAATAGGTTCCGAAAAACACCCTTCGAATTTTACGAGAACTGAACTTCGAAAACACGGAATACGCGGAGGGCAGTAAAATAGAAAACGACATAATATTCTTGACACCGCAAATAGAAACCTTTGTTTTCAGGTCTTGGCGTGGCGTCAACTTCTATCGTTCCTACGATCCTTCTGCTGCAGCACTTTGGCAAGTACAGGGCCACGGCTTTAGCGCTGATCAGCGGGTCAGTCGACATATCGGGCATGGTCACGCCTTCGCTAGTCCAGCTACTCGTGGACAGATACAACTTCTCCGGATGCCTCCTGATTATGGCCGGCCTTTCCCTGAACCTGTTCATCGCCTGTATATTTCTTAGACGGCCCTCGTGGATCGAAGACAGGGATGACCTGCATACTACAATTACGTCAGAAAGACCATTAACCTCAGGGATAAATGGCACCGGCATGATCTTAAAAGCAGACTCACATACATCGGCAAAGATCCCGGCGGAAGATATCAACAGGAGAAGGGAGGACGACAGTTCACCATTAAGAACAACAAAGGCCCCTCACGAACTCAAGGAGGGCATACTGCGTTCGTGGTTCGGAAGTACGGTGTCCCTAGCGACAGTGCCTTGGGGATCGGCGACGAGGAGCGTCGATGGAGTGGCAAAATTCGGCTCGCAAAGGATGTTGCATCGAAAAGGGGACTTTGAGAGTAACGGTTCAAAGCTGGAGCTGGACACTGGAAGCTTAATTGCCGAACGTTCTAATCAGCTGAGTGATGCCGCGGTTGTCAAGAGCAAAACTGAGACCAGACTGGAGGCACCATCGCAAGGCGACGTGGCAAGGCCCGATAAAAGAACCACGCCCAATGAAATTGAGGAACGTGGGTTCTTAAAGGATACCACCGAAAGCTCTCTTACAGTGTCCGACAGCGGCATTAGCAAGACTGGTTTCTTGCAGAAGCTTAGGACGGTGTCTAGCGTGTACACCTGGACTGTGTGCGTGTCCAAGGGCGCTTCGAACTTCTCGTCGTACACGTTCGCTCTCGTAGCCGTCGATTACGCCCATGACGTCGGTGTGCTGAGCCAGAAGGCGGCCCTGCTGCCCGCTCTCTTTTCGTCGGGATGCCTCGTGGCGACTCTAGTGACCGGTCCTGCCGTTGATCGAAACTTGGTTTCCAGGTAAGATTCGCTGTATCCACCGCCGAAACGCAAATCTTAGCAAATTCTGTTCAGAGTGAAATTTCACCAGTTAAACCCAAACTGAACAAAATTTTTGAAATACCCAAGCTTACTCTACCTGACACAAAATTTATTACTTCTGAATTTGAAATAGCTATTAAGAAAACAGCAAGCGAAGGTTATGCTTAAGCCGACATTCCAATGTTCCCGTGCTTTCCTGTCCGGAAACGTCACATGTTGTATAAATTGCAAGTAGAGGGGGGTAGTAAAAAAAACAGTATTTCGCACGTCTCTTTTTGTCTTGCTGGCGCGAGCCTTTCCAACGTTTATTTCACATCATCAAACTTCTCGTTACTAGTCGAGAAAAAGCTGTGCTGACCCCATATTATAACATTTGACATCATGCTTTCGGTGTTTGCAGTTCTCAGCGTTTTCGATCAAATATGAAAATTCAATAACTTCGCGAGAAAAATTATTGTGACTTGCAATTTGGGGTACAATTCCAAATATGTGTGATTATACGTTAAACCACTTCTGCTGGCTGCTTTCCGAAATGAAAGTATGGATATCTGTGGCTTGGGTTCTCCGTCCAGGGACCCCAATGCTTTAGTCGTCGGCGCCTTAGACTCTACAAAGGATAGAATTTGCAATCCTTGTGGCATGCTCTTGTCGTCTTCTGTAGTCCGAGTTTCGGAAAATGGTCTCAAATCTTGTCTAAACGTTAAACCTTTGAGAGTTCATATTAAAGCTACTATTCACAAAGTGTCGCATAAGATTTTTCCTATTGATGAGAGTTCAGCCTTCGTGGATCACTCAGTACAGAGACTGAGCAAGGTAGTAGACAGTTTTCTGAGGTCGGAAAACCGAACCTTTGCGTATGTAAGAAAGGTGAGGCATGAGTTGGATCGTGCAGCAGTGGTTTTGTTGGTGGGAAATTTGGTATACTTTCGGTCAATGTGTTCAACGAAAATGTAGACGAGGCGGTTGACTTCCTTTTTCTTCCTTCCAAAGGATCGCTGGTCTTGCCGGTTGTTTATAACGAAATGTTTTTAAAAAGTGTAACTTTGCGGCCGTAGTAAACAGGACTATAAATGCTAGTATGATTTCATTATGCGTAACGTTCCTGCTTAAGAACAACGAAGTTCATTTGCCCCTGAGGTTGGTAGTTGACAAAAAAGTTATCGGCAAAAAGTAGTCACTGATTTTACCCCAGGGTCTGAGCCCTCTTATGATGAACAATGCTGACCAATTTCTGAATCATATTTAACCGTTTCACTGTAAGCTCGTAAAAGAGCTTTCGTTGAATATTAAGAATTTGTTTTAGTTTTTAGATTTCGGTATTTTGCTTCAGAAACTGAGAGATTTCTATGAAGAAAAGTCGGTGTTGTTCCAGTCGCAATCGGGCATTACTTGCGGAAGTTTTCTAAACCTCACGGATCTTTATTCAGCCAACTGTGACAACGATTCAAGGGAAGTTGTGCTTGCAAAAAAAAAGTGGGATTTGCATCGGTTCCCGGATAGCTCCTGTCTTGTCTGAAATATATCTAAGTATTATCGACATCAATTTGACTGAGTTACTCACGCAGTTTTCTACAAGTGTTCTGCTGACTCGGTAGCCGATATCTTGGTGTGTTCCTTGGATTTTGCCTGGGAGATCGTGTTAAGGCCCAGTTTTTGCAAGAAGCTTCTGAGTTATCCTTTTCAGTGGAAGTGGCCCAGGGCGTTCATCTATGGTTTCTAGGTATCAGGTTTTTTTGTTCAGTTTGGTATTTTCCGGGAGTTTGGAAAGGAGGTCTCTAGACCCCTTTTGCATAGGTTCAGTTGCAATTCGAAAGTTGTAAAGCACGGTATATGGTAAAATTCGTGCTGTTGAACTCGCTAAAATAATCCTGTTTGCACCATCTGGGTCCTGGGTTGGAAAAACAGTTACGCAGATTGTTCCTGGCTGGTTATGGCAGTGATTTTGCGTCTTCTATAATGCTTCGGCTGTTAACACGCAGTGATGTCGGAAGAGCTGAAGGAACAGATACGAAAAAGCTGGTTTGTCTCCCGTATTTTCATGATGTGTCTCATAACCTGAAGGGCATTGCAGGGATGTTAGGTATTCCTGTACTAGCTTTTAAACCCGATAATCGTCTAAACAGATTGACCCCTTTCGTGGCGGAAAGTAGTGTCTGTAGTAAAGATCATAGCGAGCCTTCTGCGAGTTGTGATCTTGGAGTAGTTTACCAAATTTCCCTAAGGTGTGGCGCGTTAGTCTATGTTCGCCAGACTGCTTGATACATAAATGACAGGCTCTGTGAGCGCCAGAGATATCCAGAATAGCAGTGATCGACTTCCGAGTTGGCCAAACATATGTCCCAGTGCATTATTGTTGTGTTGTGTGCCAAGACACTGCCATTCTGTGTAAGAAAAGAGACGTCCATAAACGTCTCGTCAAGGAGTCGTTGATAATTTCCAAGAATAATGATTGTTTTAGCAATATGTCAGTTGTTCTTACCGACCCTATGAAAAATCTTCTTAACAACTATTGTTTTCTTGTGTTTTCCCTTCTGTTCCTTTTCTTCTTCGAACGAGTGACCTCAGATCGGTCGCCGGGGGAGAGAGGGAGCGGTTTTTTCCTGTGGCCCTTGGAACGAGTCGCCGGAGGGGGGAGGAGGGAGGGGGAGGGGAGTAGAATGAAAGTGCCTAATTTGTTCTTTTGTGTTGGTTGCTTGACCTCGGCGATTAGACCTTCAGGCAGCGTTGTCTCTTTGTGGTTATGGACAGGATCCGGACAATATCGTCCCGAAAAAAATGGTCCCGGACAAAATGGTTCCGGACCAAATGGCTTTGGACTAAGTGGTTCTAAGCGCAAACTCGGACAAAACGGTCCCAGGCAAATTTTAAGGCATAAATTGCTTGCTTGTGTGGGATTAGTCGATTGTTTGTACTTGCTGCAAATAGACCCCTTTCGGAAGTCACGTGCCGATTATCAGAAGGTCGGAACCACTGCACAATGGCGGAACTGACATCGTGTAACATGCAAGTCATTCCATGAGACAGCGAACGTCGGGGCGTGGGCAACGCTAGTAGCTAAGAAGCTAATCAAACGGTGCCGAATGTTCAACGTCACTGCGCTCATCGCCTTTTTCTGTGGGTGTGTTTTTGTCTTCTAATTCAACCGAACACATACAGCGTGCCGTGACGTTGCGGATTTCGTGCGCCATTGTGTAGGGATATTAGACCCGTTTCGAAAGAGTGCCATCTTTGGAAGCTGTGAAATCCCTACACAACGGCGCACGAATCCAGGAAAAGAGCTCACCAAACAGAAGGTCACCGGACAAAAGCTCACCTATCTTTTCACAAACCCGGTCAAAAGCTCACCAGGAGAAAATTTCATGCTGGTCTTAGCACGAGCGCGGACAACTTAGGTGTACGCGTGCGACACTAAACTGCAACCATACGTTAAATACGACTGGCACCTGGTTTGTTGATTAGAGTGAATAAATGTTTATTTAACGGTTGGTTAGAAGCGAATGCAGAACCCTACTACCTCAGCAGTCTTGGTAGGTCTCGGTGTGCCTGGAACGCCTTGCGAATAATTTCCGACGGTTGTGCAGGCACAGGGCGGTTTTTCACGCCAGCTTCAATGGGGGCTGAACTCTACGGGGTTGTGTAATGCTATGGTAATGCCCTTGACCTTGCTGTAAGCAATCGATCAACCTTCGGACTATTGGATTGGGCATAGCCGACAAGCTTCTGGAACCCGTTAATCCATCCTTCGCAGGCGTTGTTCGTCCGGTCTTCATCTTGTAGTGCGGTGTCATACATATTCCATCGTTTTGGTGAACTCCAGTAGTCGTCGGCACACAATCAGACAAATTGAAGAATTCGCCCTGTGTAGCGCAGCAGAAATAGCAGAAGAAACACGGAAGGGGCAGTTGACATACGTGCAATCAAGGTAGTCGAGCAGGTCACCTATGTCACCTCACCGGTAGACTTTTCCCTGATGTAGGTTAGTCCTTCGGACACAGGCTGTGGTGGAAGGAACACCAGCCCATCCAACACTCCGCGCAGCTTTGTAAACTGGTCGTCAGTCTTGTAGTTGTATTCACAACGCAGTGCTTTGCATAATGCAGTTTTGCTTCAGTTTCCATTTGCCACAACCTTGAGATAATCTTTTATTTTAAATATATTTACGACTCACAATGATGGAAACAATTTTATTTTCTTAGCCATTCACTTCGAGCATTACTCTGAACCCCAAGAAAACATATGCATTAGTAATGAAGAGACATTGAGCTTAACCTTGCTCGTTTAGTTATTTTTTTAGCAAATTGTTTTCGGACGCCCAACAGCATTCTAGTTGGCTGAAGTGACAGGGCGAACCGTCACTGCAATATATATATATAGGAAACGTGATAGCGCTAAATTTTTACTTACCAGAACGTCCCCTTCAACAATGGTAGAATGGTTTCAGTTGGCTTACCTTTCTTTACGTGCTTTAGCAGAGGTGGAAAAAGCAGCCTCCTAATAATGGTTCAATGTCCAACGCGTCCGCACTTTAGCCCAACCCACAAAAAAAAATGCGGTGAGCTTTTGTCCGTGTCTGAAAAAACGGGCAAGCTTTTGTCCAGTTACCCTAACAAAGAGAAAAAATGTTTTGCCGAATGTTTAAATTATGAAACAATAACCACTTTAACGTTTATGAATCCAATTAAAAACACATTGCATCCAGTAGCTGAGCTAAGAAGAAGGAAAAAGTATACTACAGAAATAACATACAAGTATGTACATATATAAAACAAGGTGTCTATAATATTTTACATTATCAGCACTAGAAGAAAAGCGTTGTTTCATAACACGCCATCATACGCACAAAAATAAATTGACATTCGTGTTCATACACCGTAAAGTCGGTCTGCCTTTGAGGAGCGGTGACAGTGGTCTACGCTTTAAATTAGAAATTTAGCCAGTGCAGTACAACCGCTTGCCTGGGGTCTTTGACGTGCATCACG